GGACATTTACTTGAACCACATCTATGTGGATATGGGCTAATAGGTGCTGCTTGCTTTGCAGAAACATGCTCTCCTTATTCTGTTGTTAGCTTTTATCACACTGTAGTTATTTTCTTACTGCCTGACTCCTCTCACTAAACTCTCAGATCCATGAGAACAGTGCTGTGTCTCCCTCATACGGCATGAAACACATGAGTCAGTGCCTGGCATGTGCTCTTGGTGCTGGAGGCCAGGGCAGTCTGCACCTGCTCCCGTGGGTTGTTAAATCAGGGTATGAGGATACGAAATGGGAGGTGAAAACAAGAGGTGCTTCTTATCCCATTTCCTTGGGATTATGGCAAAGCCTGCTGGGCTGAGGTTGGAGTGGAAGTAAGAACAAATCAGAATTAGGTCTAGCTCTGGCTCTTTACTGTATGAAACGACACATATGAGCAGGAGCTTGAAGCACCGCGATGTGGATAGGAGTCATTTCAGAGTATGTTTTCACACCTGAAATATGGTGACCTCCAATGAGTCATCAGTTATTCCCATGACAAAATGGGTTTATTCAGAAACAGACAACAGAAAAGGGGGAAGACTGGAAAGAGTGTTCATAGTAAAATTTTGGAGATCTGTCTTGAGAGTAGAAGCGATCACCTGTTTGCTTTGTTTGTTTCTTGCCCAGGGAATGTATGTTTGCTTTGTCTAGCAATCATGAATTTAGAAAATTCCAGAAACAATGTGTTGTAGGAGTCAAGTATTTCTTAAAGCCATGCCTTCTCTACTCCCTGGAAGGGGAGACAGCATCATCCCCCAGGGGACAAGTCAGCCATGTTGGGTCTCTAGTCCTCTTGGGCACCCCCTTTTTGGCCCCCCACCTCATTTCAGTAGGGGCTCTGTGTATCACCCTTCGCAGGTCTTTATGGTTCTTTTGGGAGGAATATTTTAGATGCTTGTTCTGTTTTTATTTCATTTTCCCCTGTTATTTGTTCCCTAAATTCACACTCAATTACATAAATGAACTAAAGTCATCCAGGTAGCTTTTGATTAGTCCTCTCAACCAAGCAGAACATCTCAGAGATACCACAAAAACATTATTTTGTCACCTATAAAGTAAACTTCCCTTTCCAACCTGGCAATCTTGGGTCTCCCTGGTGCTAAGCAGGTTTAGAACCTTTCGGAATTGTGAAGAAACTTTGGCAATGAGAACCACTCACTTCAAAGGGCCAGGCTCCGAGGGGAAGGCAGGGTCACACTGTCCATGGAAGAGGCCTGCAGAAGATGATCTGAAATGTGGGCAAGCTTCTGAGGCATTGTTGTCAGCATCTTCAAGTTACCAGAAAAGAAGACCGACTTCCTTCCAGGCAGAGAGGAGCTTCCTGACTGACTTCCTTCCGGGAAGAGAGGAGTTTCCAATCCATGTCCAAGGAGGTGCATGCTTCAGAACAAATCTGAGTAAATATTCTATTGTGCCCTCTCCTGAGCGTTCAGTAACACCCATCAGTTTTTGTCAGCCTAGGCCCCATGGCAGAGGGGAAGGAAAGTCACTGGTAAGTCAACAGAGTGAAGAAAACATCTCTGGAAGAGAAAGAGCCAAGTCACAAAGGCTTAGCTACTGGTTTAGTCCTGGAGCCTCTTAAGACGTCAAGTCTAAACTGCTATTTAGCTATTAAATGGTGGCTTCAGACAGACAGAAGTCACAGGAATTCCAGTGGAGGAGATATTTTTCCTTGGACTACAGACTGTAGTTACTGACTTAAAGAAAATCAAAATGTATATATATATATACAACAACAACAACAACAACAGAAGAAGTGAACCAGTTAGAATAGAAGCCAAGCTTATGAGTCTTAAATCCATACAGAAGGTTTCAAGGTGGCCTAAGTGATTTCAAGGTGGCCTAAGTGATTTAAAAATCTTTTTGGCTTAAGTGAATTTAAAGACGCAATTTCTGATATTTGCCCTGCCTTGGAAGCCTATCCTCTGGTTGTGACAAGACTGTGGATACATTTGTGTGTTCCTTGAAATAAATAACTAGTGCCTCGCTGGGGCTTAGGATTTCTGCCCTCCCACTGTCGTCTGCCAGTAATTGGAGAATTATTTTTAATTGACCAAGGTACCTGGCTCTGGCATCCTATTTTAGTAAAGCTAAATATTTTTTTTTATCACTCATGATTTTATTAAATAACTTTATCCTTGGATCTGGAGTTTCTTTTTTTTTTTTTTAATAATACCATAGTTTATTTTTACATCATTTTGTGCCTTTTCCCATCTCAGTTGTAATCCCCGTGAGCTTCCCATCAT